TGGAGGGTGTTAAGCTGTTTATTATTTCAAGTCAGCAGAATTAGCAAAGACTTCACGCACAGTACTTAAGGCCTACACTACCCTCCAAAAATCCATCCCCCTTCAAGTGATGCAAATTGTTCCCAAATCTCTTATTAGTGATGCTCTTCAGTGTTGAAAGATCACAGGCCATTAAGGAGCCAGAGAAGCCACAGAGACCCCAGAGAGCCCCAATGGCGGCTTCCCGCATGACAAGAGTCGAGAGGCTGGAGACAGGGAGGGGGTTTCCCGGGTACTTAGAGAGAACACTCAGCTCTGCTTACCTGCAGTGACCTCACTGGACACCCTTACATATTTCACCCTCACCGTCACCCTGACAGTGGGATAGCACTATACCTATTTTATGGATTTTTGATAACAGAGCTCAGAAAGTTTAGGTCCTTCTGTAGAAAGCACCATGCATGCATCTATTAAAAAATACATGTACTAAAACTGATTATCTTACTTACTGCTGCCATAGCAAAAAATCCCACATGTGGGTGGCTTTAGAGAACAAGAATTTGTTTTCCCACAGTTCAAGACAATAAAAGTCCAAATTAGGGTCTCCGCCGTGTTTATTCCTTCTGTGGGCCTCTCTCCTAGTTTCTGGGATTTGCTGTAATCCTTGACGTCCTCTGCTGTTTAGAGTTGCATCTGCTTCCATTGTCACGTGGCAGCTCCCCCTGTGTATGTCTCTGTGTTTGCTCTTTTTATAAGACCTCACTCAGAAGAGATTAGGTTTAGGACCCATCCTACCCTGGTATGATCTCATCAACATAACAAAAGACAGGGAGCCTGGCTTTGGGGGCCTGGCTCCGAAGAGACCATCTCCCCTGAGGAAAAGCCTGAGGCCTCCCATCCTCTTGAGACTTAGAGAGTCCCCAAATCTTTGTAAAGTGACACTGCTGAGAGTGCTCCTGCCATTTTATAGAGAACTGGAGCCAGAAAGTCTTCCTGTTCCCAAAATAAAAATGACAGAGAATGAAAATGACAGAAAGATTGGTTTGGTATTTCCAGAAAGGTTTCTTCTCTTCCCTGAGAACAAACAGACCCCAGCTCCAAGTAGCCCAAACTCTTCAGGGCGCAGGAACTGAAAAGAATAGAAGAGGAAATTGGTGTTCCAAAGGCAGGAGGATGGGAGTCTACCCACAGGCTTGGAATGGGCACACATGGAGCTGTGTTTCCTCACCCACAGGACAGCCCCAGTGGTGGATGCTGCTAGTCCCACTCTACGGAAGAGGAAACCAAGGCCTC